GCACGAGGCTGCGGGGCTGGGGCGGCCGGCAGAGCAGCACCGGGAGCATCCCCCGGCGGCAAGGGCCATCTGCCGGGGATCCGGTAGGAATTCAGCAGCCTCCGCCGCCGTGCTCTCACCTCGGCTCTTCAGGGAGGGGAAGGCAGAGCCGGTGGCCACAGCAAACAAGCACTGAGATCTCTGTGCTGCCAGCCAGACGCGTATGGCGTGGGGAACCTCGTATGGCATGGGGAACCTCGTATGGCATGGGGAACCTCGTGCCTCTGCCATCCCCCAGGGCTCCCCGAGGCTGCGTGCGGGCTGGCACAGTGCAAAGCACAACGCTGGGGAATTCCCGGGGACAGAAATGCCCCCAGAAATGCGCTGCCTCTGCCTGAGGTTGAAATACAAACGTCTGTCCCACAGAAACCGAACCAGGCAGCTTGACACAAAACACTGCAAGCCTCCTGCCCTGGTGCTAACATGCACAACACTACCTGCACCGAATATAAAACGTTCTACATAGAAAAAAAAAAACCAAAAATATCTACAAATTGTGCAAAAATATCCAGCAGCTTTTAATAACGTGATTCAAGTATTGCTAACAAGGTCTGTGACTCTCCTCTACGCACACTCCAGTGTCAGTACTGGCTGCCCAGCCTGGCTCTCCCGTGCCTCTGCAGGCACAGAGCGATGCTCGTGGATGTGCACGGGCACACGGGAATGGCTCCTGAGGCGCTGAGGACAGCCCTGCTCTCGTCTGCTGGCCAAAAACCCAAGCCAAGAGCACAACATGAGGTTATCAGAGACCAGAACTGCTTCCTCAGTGAAACTCCTCCTCAGGATTTCACCCACTTTTCTGTTGCCTTTCGGTCTCCTGTAGGCAGGACATAACCAGGCTTTCCTGGCAAGCTAAAGGTTCCCAAATCTTACAACTGTAGCCTTGCCAACCAGCACCTCATGACGAGAGCTGCAGAACACTGCGTGTTTCTTCTTCCCCATTAAAAGGAGGGTCATCCTAACTTGTGTCCTTGCTGCAAAATGTCTTACTGACTGGCAGTAAAAAACATAAAGAGGTTTTCAGCACCCTCTCAGTGACCAGCCAGAAAATAGGATCAACAGCAGCCGGGACATCTAGTGAGCTTCCACATCTGCTGGGAGCCAGAGTCCTCCCAGCTAAACAGCCCCAACTTACCAAGGCACAACAGCTTCTGGAAAGGAAAAGCTGCTCCGGCAGCGGCCGAGGTGAGAACCCGGCCGTTAAGAGACAGAACAGCCCTTCCACATAGGCACAGGGGAGCAGGACGTGTTCACGGAGACAACAGGGATACCGGGGAATGTACGCCTCCACCAGCCCAGAAGACGAGACGTGACAGCCCAGCTCAGAGTAGGAACCGCTCCCCAGCTCCCACCTTAGCCCACCTCGGTACTCCCGGCAGGAAACACAGCGACCCCCTGGAGCAGAGCCTCCGGGCTCAGAGGTCTGGTGACTCCCCAGACCTATTTGCTTCCCAGGTGCAGCAGGAACTCCCTGCTTTCTGCACGAGTCTGAGGGTCTTGCATGCTGTTGGGCTCTATCAATCGAAAGTCCAGACAGGCCACATCACAGTGACACAAATAAACAAAAATAATAAATAAATTATTTAAAAAAAAAAAAAAAAGGCAACGTATGGCTCGACTGAGTCTTTGGCAGCTCTGTGGCACAGGGCTGTCCCGCCTGAGGCTGGGGAGATGGTAAGAGGGGAAGGTTCTGGCTGGAGTGAGACGCAGGCACAGCAGGCACTGGGCTACGTCACAGCACTGCTAGGGAATGCCTCCTACCATGCTGGTGTCAGTTTTGGCTCCAAAGGAAGGGATTTCGCTCTTAGGACTGGACGGGGTCCCGACATCTGGCTGGATAAATCCTCTTCTGTCTATCAAACTGGAAAACAGAAGGGGAAGTGTGGAAGAGGAGAAGAGTTAAGGAAATGAAGACTCCGCGAGGACGGGAGCTCACAAGCCACAGAGAGGGCTGTCCTCGTGGGAACTGCTAACCAAAGCATCGGCAGGAGCTGCCCATTACACAAACCACAAACTTATCACACAAGCCACCAAACAGCCTGTAGGCAGTTAAAGCTTTGGGTCACCACAAACCCAAATGGGAACCGGAGAAAGGGCTTTACAACAGGAAAACAACATGAACGAGGGAAGAATTGGAGTAAAACACTACTCTCCTCGCAACCTCCCAGAAAACAGCTCGGCTGCCTGAAGTTGCAGATTTACCATCTCCCAGTGACAGCACTGGCATTTCATAGAATCATTGAATCATAGAATTTCGGCACCCCTGAATCCAACAAAAAGCTTGGGGGTACTTTGGCGAGCAGGGCCAGGTGTAAAACACACTCTGACTGTAGCTGCACAGCCTCAGACACCTTCCCCTGCTCTTGTGTTACACCCAGTCAGCACCTCCAAGGCGCTCCACATAAATCCAAACCGGATCCAGTGAAAAAAAAAAAATCGTCTCAAGGATCCCCACATGCCCCAGGACAGGCCGAGAGCTCCAAGCCAACGTGCAGGTCCTCAACCCTCGCAGCGCAAGGGGACGCCGGCCCGACTCTGCCCAATTGCACCCTCTTGTGACAAAGCAGCAATAATCCTGCGCTGCCGGTGCTTCAGGTCCAAAGCTCCCTCACATCTGCAGCAAACCGCCCGCCTTTGCCCTGGCTTTTAACATCGGTTGTGGTTAACTCACAGGTAAGAGCATTAGGTGGGATGCTACTAAGCATTTCAGGTAACCTAAGTGTCGGTAAAAGCCAGGGTCTCCACACCGCCCTGTGCGGTTCTCTGCTGGCTGCGTGCCACAACGCTCGATCCTCAGAGTACAGGAGGGAAAACACGCGCTAAGAAGTACCGCCACTACTGATATTTACCATCTGCTGCTGAGCTCTTTGGTGCTCTTACTCTCCCCTTATTGAAGCGCAGGATGTCTCTTATCTGCCAGCTTCGTGAAAGAATTACAAGCGATCCGAACTCGTCGCTCATACACAGGAGAAGCAACAGTTCTATCTCCTACATTTCTCCAGCCGCTCTCTGCAGAGACCGGGGAACTGTTTCCCCATCCTCATGGGAGCAGACGTGTTTGCGCTGACACAGTCTCCCCTGAATTGTGGGAAATCTGTCCTTTCCGAGGCCCCTCTCACCGAGCAGGATGCAATTCCCATTGCCGTGGAGGTCAAAGGCTCTTACCTGGGATGGAATGGTCCACACAGCACTGCACAGCAGTTTGTGAGGATACTTTTATGGCTGTAGGGATTGGCAAACTCTGAGCCCCTCTTATTTGACCAGGACCCTTTGATCTGAAAGGGAAAGGATACACGCAGATTAAGATACAAAAGATGTGACAGCAGATAATTAATTACACGATAACGGACTCCTCGGTTCACATCCTTGCTCAAGAGGTGGAAGGCTTGTCTTACTGCAAACGTCCTCCTTCTCTTTGCTTTAACAAGCGGGACAGCTGCTGAAAGGCAGCCAGAGGAGCGAACAATATGCTGCTCCCACCTCTGCCAAGGTTCAACCTTGCAGCTAGAGAACTCCAAAGCTGTGCCCTCCCCGTGCTGCACGGCAACTTGTCAGCATCACCATCTCCAACGCCAGCCTCCTCCTCCTCCTCCTCCTCCCCTCGTTCTCTACAAGGCTGAAAGCTCATCAGAGTAGGGCTCTAGCTCACGGTCCCTCCCGGGCTCCTCCGGCCGAACAAACAGCAAGGGGATTCCCAGGCCACGCTGCACCAGGAGGAAACAATCTCATCTGTCCCCACCCTGAGCAGCTGCCACTGGGACTCTGATTTCGAAACCCCGGTCACATCAAGCGTAGGCACACGCGAGCGGGCAGATGCTATACCTGGCCTCAGGCCCCTGGCTGCAGCGAACCATTTACTATGACATTTCCTCCTTTTGTTTTTACTTCCTCTCCCCACTTGCAGCATAAGGCTGGCAACGTGGGCAACACAGCCAGAGAGGCAACGGGCCACGGGCTTTGGACCTGGCGCTCTCAGTACCGGGGTGCGACCTCCATGAGCTTCGCTTACATGGCCTCGCACATCTCTGCCAACACCTCCGACCCTAACAGAGAGGTGGAGAGAAAAAAAAAAAAAAAAAAAAAAAAAAAAAAAAGAGTGGAAAAACCAAAAAGGGATGCAAACCTGCCTTCTGCAGTGCTGGAAGCTTCCAGGCACAGAAGGATTACAGGCACTTCTGGCCAGGAGGGTGAATTTTGATTCCGAGGATCAGACAGATCCTGCTTTTCTGTACAATCTGCCCTGCTCAGGGTACTCATTTGGCCCTTGGAGTCTGCACGCAGCCCAGACTTTGAGGTAAATCGTATCAGATGTCTGTACATTATTTGCCTATTAGGCATGAGGAACCGATAGAGACAAAGGGACTTGCCCGAGGTCTCAGAGGAAACCTGTGGTTACGCGGGATGCTGAATTAAGATCACCCATGTCCCAGCCTAACACCCAAATAAATCTCTGGGGCCCAGCCCTCCTTTTTTAATCTCGGAACTCCTAATTTTAAGCAAGGCGGCATACGGACTGGAAAAAACACACACATGACCTTTCTAACGTTTCAGCCTGTGACCCCCATAGCCTGACACCGCCAAGCAACACGTGTTGCACGGTCGCTCGCTGCTGCGTGCTGCTTTTCCCCCATGCAGCTACCTGAAGCTACAGCCCAAACGCCTTGGGCACGGGCTCTTTGCTTCGCAGGGGGTTATCACAGGCAGTGCAGGCAGCACGCCTTACCGAGATACTGCCCTGAGGCAGGCGGCCAAGGATCCCCCGAAAACCTCACCTCTGCTTAGGAAGGACCGGGGCTGGCCCTGCAGAAGGACAAGCGTCCAGGTACTTACATCTTCGTTCGTCGTCAGGTTGGAGGCAACTAAGTAAGTGTGAAAACCTGAGAGGCCCAAAATAGACCAGACTGAGAAAAAACAAATCACCAGCTCCAGCACAGTAAAACAAAAGTCAAGGAAGTCTCCGGGAACAAAATCATCCTGCAAAGGAGAAGCAGAGGACTGTTTTGGGAGGTACGCGCTGTGACCACACGCATCGGGCCACGAAAACATCCCAGCACGCTTCCCATTCCCTGTGCCATTCTGCAGGCATCCACCAAAGCACAGCCTGTTCCAGCCGCTTCCTTTCCACGTAAACTTGCAAACTGGGGAACAAGTCTGTCACCCCCTCTTAGTCCCTGGTGGTGAACTAAATAAGGAATTAAAGGTTTTCCCAATTTGGTGACGTTATCAGTCTACAGACAAAGAGATGCCTGTCTGCCCCAACCAGGTAGCTCAGGAACTAAATTAAGTTGTGGAAAGTACACGAAGGTGACCCTGCAAAGAGCTCACTGCACTTCTGTTACACAATTAGCACTGCTGCACCAGTGCTCAACAGTCGGAGCAGCCGATGGCATCAGAAGGATATCTTGCAGGTGTCGTCTTCAGAGTGGCGAGGAATCCATCTCTCTGAGAGCCTGCAAAGCAAAACGGGACAAGGAACGAGGTCCCATCAGGCAGCTTTGCATCTCCAGCCAGCGCTTCACTCCCAAGCACGCAGCCACCCCCCCTGTGGGCCATATGGACCTGCCTGGCTGCCTGAGAAACATCTGCAGTCTGTAACTTTGCAGAAATGTCATCACACAGACACAGCTCCGGGAGATTTGGGGCTGACAGACAAGTCACCTTCCCTGCCAGGTTAAGAGCAGATGTACCCACCAGCTCATTTGCTCTGGGGGGGATAACCCAGTCACCAGCTCTCAGGGTCTCTCTGCAGCGAGGTGCAGGGTGGATCTGTGGTTCCCCGCAGTCTGAGACACCGTTTATTCGGGTCACCTGCACTGTTAAGCCTGGCGTAAACCAACCAGACCCTTTCCACGCTCTGTCCAACAGGAACAGTGACCCAGTGCTGCCTCAAGGTGTTTGTGGCCAGGAGCAGGGCACACATCGCTGCTAGGAGCCGCAGTACTTACGCAGAGTGAGGTGGGTGACGACGCAAGCAAAGATGAAGGCTGTCAGGAAGGAGAGGGAGAGGATGAAGGCATAGAAGTAGCGATAGTTGCGCTTCCCCACGCAGTTGCCCACCCAGGGGCAGTGGTGATCAAACCTCTCTGAAAGAAAAGGACATGGTGAGGATTCCTGCCACCTCGCACCCTGTAACAGAGTGAACCATGCTGAGCCTCCGAAAACTAGGGGCTACAAACCGAGCTTCCACCCCCACCCCGAGACCAGAACCTCCCTGCAGCACTGTGTTAGCAAGAAGTTTCAACGGAGCACTGCTGTCTGCTCACATGCCCTTTTTTATCATCAAAGGCCAAACCTTTTCTCTCAGCAAACCCTGCATAAATACACGCCTTGTGACTGGTAACATCTACCATTACTAAAACTGAAAGAGAAGAAGGAAAGTGCGGCAGTTTTTCCAGTACTTCGCAGCACTGGGTGTGTGCACGCAGCATCACTGCTCCCTTTCTGCGCGGCAGCTTCCCCCGCCTTCTTCGGGGCAGAAAATAATTTTCAAAGTTATAAAGATACGCCTCTAAAACCACAGAAACTGCCTGAGAACCCAGGGCAGGTGCAATATATCTGGAAACATTCCCGACTGTCTTCTAATGGAAGGGCTCCATTACAGACTAACAGGACTGCGGTAACCATTCTGCAGGGGACACCAGTGCAAACAAAACCCATCGCGCACGAAGCAGGCGCGTGCCCGCACCCCCAGACAGCTCCTCTCCAAACACTGCCCCAGCCACGGCTGCTTTCCAGAGAGATGTTCCAGCGTAAGGAGGAGTCACGGCCACCTACGGCCGTCCCCAAACACGTAACATTTGGCAACCCCCAAACTTTTTCTCTTAAGCAGAGCCTTGTGGTCCTGCAACCGCTCACGGGTTGGTCGCTCCTCAGGCTGCCCCGGCAGAGAGCGTAAAGCACAGCCTCCACATCCACCCGGTGCATGACCAGGAGAAGCTACACGAGGAGTAAACTCTCCAGGCACGTCCCTAAATCACACTCCACCCTGCTGCCAGTTCAAGTTGCTCCGGTGCAGTCAGGCTGCGCTGGGAACCTCCCTACCCATCCCCCTGAAGCTGCCCCATTCCTGTGCTGGCCTGTGTAGAGCCATCAGAGACTTTCTTCAGGTCTTTGTTCATTCCCTCCTGCCCCACCACAGCATGAGGGCACGGGGAGAGGACACAGAATCATCACAGAATCGTTAGGGTTGGAAGGGACCTCTGGAGATCATCTAGTCCAACCCCCCTGCCAGAGCAGGGTATTTCTTGACACAGAAGGGCTCAACCAGCACTTATGGTGGTGCCTCCACCAGCCTGGCAACAGCACAGCCACAGACAACAAGGAGCCTGCAGCAAACCTTGTGTTTGGTGGAGGGCTTAACCGTGTTTCATGGTACCGTCCTGCCAGAACCAGGGAAAGCAGAGACACGGAGTCTTGGACATGCTGACCCCTCACCCTGAGCCACTGCACTGGTGTTGCTTTCATTTTAAGTGGGAAAAAGAAAGATCACCGAGTATCTTGCTTTATAATCCTTTACGAGAAGGAAAAGCAATCTGTCCAGGAACATAAAACATCCCCCCCACACACACGCACAAGAAAGAGCAGCACCTTTCCACTTTCTGGGCTTACCGACACAGTTGTCGCAGACACTGCAGTGAGAGGTGCGTGGAGGGCGGAACATTTTGCAGGTGTAGCAGTACTTGAGTTTCACCACGTACTTGTTTATGACCACTTCCATGGTGCGGGCCGGCGGGCGATAGGTAGAGGTACCCATGCTGTCTGCAAGGGCAAGGAGGTACAGTCAAACTGGTGCAGGTGAAACCCAAATCCCCGTATCACCCTGAGCTGCTTCCTGCAGGGTAAGGGACCGGCACATGCTCTCCCGGTTTTAATCAAAAGCTGCGAGGCAGCTCAGCCTACAGGATTTGTTGCAGGGTGGGCAGCCAGGAACTCCAGTCAGCTCCTGGCAGTATTATTTATGTCCTTTCCTTGTCTGTTCACTGGCAATGCTGCTGGGATGCCAGGAGGAAGTAATATCTGCCCAACAGTTTGAGAACATAAAGCAATTTATAAATAGCCGAGCATAAAAGCAGCAGTGTTAACGTGCCCGGTAACACCAACTCATCTCTGTGCGTCTAACGGATCACAACACAAGGAGACAACATAATCTGTCAACGCACGTGTGTTTCCTCCTCTGCTGGAAGCATCCAAGTTACAGAAATCAGGATAACCTCAGCAGAAGCATCCCCTGCCACCGCTAGCACACAACTTGCCAACCCGCAGCCGGAGCCAGCGGCACCGCCAGGCTCAAGAGACTCATTTCCACCACAGCGGGGGAGGACAGAGAGCAGGTCTCAAGTGCTCCAGGCGGATTTCATTGAAATTTGACATGTGTATGTTAGTAGCACAAGAGGATTCCTCCTCCTCAAGGTCAAAATTGAGGATTTTTAGAGACACCACAAGTTACATCTGTGTGTGCTGGCACATCGCTATTCACCAGGGGTTGGCAGCTGGAGACCGTTTCTCTGCTCAGCAAAAACTGGGAAACCTCTGTATCACGTTTGCAGCTTTTGGGGGTTGTTCCTTTATTTTAGTCACTCTGAAAAGAGCGCCTTTCCAACTCTGAGGAAGTCTTTGAAAATAGAGATGTAACAGTGAGCATATTAAGAGGATAATAAATGGATTATATTAACAGTAACAGCTGGCACATCAGGCAGCATCTGCAGCCAGATTACTGCTTTAGGCACTTATATATAGAAACATGGATAACCACTCTGAGGATATTTTAAAACCAATTTTTTCAGTCAGATGTAGAATTGCTGCCTTGCAAATGTCTTCAGTGGGGCAGATTCAAGCTGCCTCGTGTTAGCTTTGCTAAAGCATTTGTTACTAAGGGTCACATCAACAAGGTCCGCAGATCCTGGGCACGTACACCTTCTTGGCCACCACCAAAACAGTGTGACATAGCAGTTTTTAGATGGGGACATTAGCATACTGTTAGAAACCATTACAATAAAGAAAACACTGCAGCACAGCAGGCTGAATGGCAAATCATAATCTTAAAAAGCATTCGTGCCTCAATTAATTAGCCTACGTCCTCACCACTTGTATTTTGCAGAAGGTGGTACAGGGTCAGAGTCCTCTGAGTTTGGACAAAATTCATGATGTGATACTCTGGTCTTTCCTCCAGAGACTCACTGAGCCTGAAATGTGTGTGGCACACACACGCATGCACAGAGCCATGCACCGGACCAAACACAGGAGAGGGAACAGCAGTCTCACCGATCCGCTTTTCCAGGTCTGCGGCCTCGCTTGGGGTGGCTCTGGGCAGGATGCCCGGGTCTCTGAAGCTCGTCTGGAGCAGGCAGCTGATGACAAAGAAGAAGAGGACGGCTGCAATGATGGGGATGGCCAAGGTGAGGTGACTGGCAAGGAAGGGGCAGCTGTTAAAAGAAAAGAAAAAAAAAAAAAAGCATTGTTACCAACCATCGCTACAGAACTGGCTATCAGCTGTGACCTTGCACACTATGAATTACCACGGGGTGGTGGGCTGACACACTTCTGCGTTGCAGAGACCTCTAGAACAGCAACAGCCAGCCCAGAAAACACTGGAGTAGCACTGGGACGACAGCGTCTTTGGCACAAAGATGGTAGTACGAGCCCCTGTACACAAGCTCTTTGCCCTTCTAAAGTCCCAGAATCCTGTTTCAAAAACCTGTCAGCTGCCCCAAAGCTCGGTCACCTTCTACAACAGCAGCGTCAAGAACACATGGAGAAACACCCCGAGCTAAGCAGGAATCAAAATCAGCATGAATGCGATCCCATTTGGTCCAACACGTGAAGCTGAGAGGGAATTTGGCTTTGATTCAACACAGCTTTGATGTCTCTGGATGACTCGTGTGCCCTTCACGGTGCGCCAGATGTTTGGATGGCGATGCCTTGCAGCACTGACACTGCTGTGACAATCCACCAAGCACCTCAGCAGACGATGCCCGCTCCAGGGCTCGCTGTACTACGACCTGGGGCTGTTTTTCCACAGATGGGGACCGGCGCGATCGCACTCCACATCAGGGCAGCTCCGTTACTCGACAGGTGAAGACAGTGGAGGAACACAGCTCTTCGCACGGCGCAGTGCCGGAGACTCCTCCCGTCCCTCGCTCCGCAGAGGGATTTACTATTATAAGCACTGATAAGTACCCGGAATGGAGCGCAGACAGGCAAGCTGCTTGAGCCCTGATGTCTGCAGGCAGCGCTAAGTCTCAGTAATGCTTCGAGGCAGTTTGAGAGGATTAAGCAACTTTTGTTTCAACTCCCAAGCTCAGCTGCCCAGAACAAAGCGGCCACCAGGCAACAAAACCCCTTCAGCCCGAGACTAATGCTGCTGCAGAACCCCTCGGTCATCTCCCTGGCAGTAAGGTTTCTGAAATGAGAGATGTGAGCTTGTTGCCACCCTTTGGCTGGGAGGATCTCTGGACTCTGCTTTCCCCTCCCAGGCAACAAGAAATCACATAAAAAAATGTGTACTGCAGACACAGGCAAAGATGTATTTGCTACACATCGAGCCAACTGTAACCCATGCAACAGAAGCACGCTGCTAAAATAACAACTTGGAAAGCCCCAGGGCATCTTCAACCAAGAAAGAGTGACTAGGCAAGAAGGGAGGGTAGAGCAGATGTCCTCTGCTTGGCCCCATACAAAGCAGTTCCTGTGCTAGTGCTGCCCATTAGTTTCAGCTGCAGCAGAAAAAGCCGTCAAAGAGGGACAGATGACATTAAGAAAGGAGTTTTCGCATGGGGATGCCGTTACTGCCTCCCCCAGCTGCCTGCCCCTCTCAGCTCATCCGACTTCTCAGAACCTCTAATCCGATCAAATACCTTCATCTCCCCGCCCGCAGGCTTGGGCAGCTTTACGCTGAGACTCGCAGAGATAACTCCGTGATCCAAAAGCAGGCATGACATCCCCCCCCGCTTCGTACAGCGGCAGGAAAAACAAGCTCCTTTCCCTCCCGAGACAGAAACGCGGAGGCAGGATAGCAGAACCCTCAGAGGTGTCAATAACCAACGGTGCTCCTTCCCCGGCTCCAGCGCAGGGCGTAACGGGGTGCTCCGGGCTCTCCCCTCCCTCGGGGCGCAGGAGCGGGACACCTTTCCTAAAGCAAAGGGGACTGGGAGAGATGCAGGTTGCTCTTCCCCAGACACGGCTGCACAAGGGGGGGAAGCAGAGCTCCAGTGCAGACCCTCGAGGTGGGACCCCAGAGGATTTCAAAGAATTTCCCCATTTATCAATAAC